ATTTTCGTATTGCTGTGACATTTATTGAAATATCAACAGTATTTGTAATGATTACTTTATTTAAATTTACTGATCCAGTTCGAACATCAATAATGAAAAGAATAAGCAGACGACCAAATGTAGTCGCAGCAACAATAATATAAAAAATTTAATTTTTTCTAAATATTGTCCCAAATTTCTGTTATTTAATTATATGAATATTTCGACTTGAATTCTTCTTATTACATCGGGCGAAGAATAGTGTATTTATATGAAGAGTTAATTTCTAATTAGAAGTTGTCAAATACAAAACTTCCTAGTATTTCATTAGCATAGTTTTGACATGAATCCTGTAGTTGATTTGCAAATTAACAAATTCACCGTTTTTCTTTCATCATTCGACTGAAAAAATGACGTTTGACATATGAAGATGTTTAGACTTCGGAAAGTATTTATATCGTAATCCATACGTCACAGAGACGTTCATGCGGCGGCGCGACAATGGTTGAATTTTTGAAAAGTTTTACTTTTATTTTTATCTCAAACATTATAAATGTTTCCAGTTCAAAAGAGTCGCCTTTTCTCAGCATATTTGGATGATTATTGCATCGTCCAACCAATATAAGAAGAAGTTTTATAAACTATATTATTCATACCATCGAGATGGATATCCCTGATACATCAATATCAGCTGTATATGGAAAAACATAAATATGATTTTCCCTACGTTTGTTCTCGTAAAATACGAAGATAATAAAACTTTTCACAAACTACCATTTTTTTCTAATTCTTTATTTATTCAATAGTTTGAAAATATGTTAAAGAAGTAATAGCCGGGTTGTGACATTCATTTTAAGAACTTTGTTAATTAGTTCTCATGGAAAGTATTCAAAAGAAAAAAATTTATTCTTTTATCTGTGATAAAAATCAAGTAACATTATAAACATCCATCTTACTTTCTTTCAGGAATAGTCATATCTCGGAATGAGTATAGCTCTATGGGTATGGGTATCGAAATCGAATAAGAGTTATACCCACATCCTCAAGATTGGAAAGTTCGATGACTGCACAGATTCTATTTTAAGTTATCACCAATCAATATAAGATTACTACGAAATTATAGTAATCTTCCTTTCAGAATGTTGAGCAAGATTCTAAAATTGATGACAAGATATTAATTGACGCTTACAGTCTCGTTAAGGACTAGATTAAACTATAAGTTACAAAGTCTTTAGTTTGTCATGTACACTATTTTAACAAAATTCAGAATATTTCTAAATACTGTCCCTTACAGTATCTTAAAGTAACACTGCATATAATTCGATATGATAATAATTGATAAGATCATATATTAATTTGTTGTTGAATATCATGTTCATTGTAAAATAGATAATTAAAATAACTACATTGCACATAGAGAAGATGATCTTATTTGTATTGAGAATAAAAGACAAGAAGATCATTCTTTATTTGTTTGTCTCTTGTCTGTCACATTCATTAATCACGAATAATTAAATAATCTTCTTCTTTTTGTATTATTCTATTTTTGGGTGCAATTGTTTGTACTCTTGTATTCTTTTGCTCTCCTTTGAAGCAATAGTCTTGTGGTAAAAAGATGCTTATTACTTAATTAAATCATAAATGCTAAATGTAGAGACATTTAAAAGTTAATATTTTTAATTTTAGAAAAAGTTTAGAATTATTCTAATTGTCTAAATATAATAAGACGATAGAAAAAAATCATCAGAATGTCATTGTTAATTAATATTAGAAGGACCTCCTAAGGAAATAACAGACTGAAGACATGCTGTGGATATCAGATTTTATGATAGACAGACAAATGTCAAGGTTAGTGCAAAGAGCTTAGATAAAAAGTCGTACGATCAAAACACAATAAGTGTTACTATTATAGTTGTTTTGTACAAAAATAAATTTACGAAAACATATTTCTTTTGAATTCTAAAATTCTATTTTTAAATACAGCATGAACTTATTAACTTTTTATTTTTCAAAACCTTTTTTTAATTACATAAATATAGATTTACATTTACTTATTAAAGCGTAATTCATTTCATAATAGAAAAAAAAACATTTTTTATTGTCGATCTAACCACTTTAAACGTTTTGAAATTCACCATTATTATTATTATTTCCATTTATTAATGATTTTGTAATTGACGAAGATCTTGAATGTTGTCGTTGTTGTTCGGGAATAATAGAATCAGAATTTAATAATAAAACATTTGGTAAATGTTCATTTGTTATTGTTAATGGTTGTTGAATAACAATTTCTTTTTTTTTACGTTGATTATTTTCTTTAAATTTTCTTTTTGATTTTCGACAACAATAAATATTTAAACATTCCGTACGAAATAATTGTCCAAATACACAAAATGGTAGAAAATTTGTTGCTGCATTAATAATAGCAATTAAATTTGCTATATTATGAAAATGTCTTACATTGAGAGAACTTGATGGTGAGCTAAAGAAAATTTTTATTGTTAAATCAAATGACCATAAAATCCAAAGAACAATTGTTGGACTTCGACATATAAGTAATGTTAATACGATTGTACAAACCATAATTGTTACAGAATATTTTGTTTGATTCGTCGTACGACTTTGATCATGTCGATTTGCTGCTGGACGTGTTTTACCTAAACGTTTCGCACGTAATTTAAGTTGATGTAAAGCACGAATTAATTGTAAATTAAAAAAAACAATTGTTATTGTTGGTATTGTATAAACAAATATCGCATTAAAAAAAAAGTAAGCCCAACGATAAAGTCTTCGTTTAGCTAGATCACTATAACCTTTAGTAACAAGTATATTATTTTTATCAAAATTTTCATCAGATAATAATAAAGATTCATTATTATATTCACTTTTTTGATAAACCATTGGCATTCGAATTATTTCATATTCAAATATAAGTGGAATTGAATAAAATAGTGCTATAAGAAGTAATGTTCGTGAAACATTTTTTGCTCGATTTAATGTACAAAATGTTTTAGCATATATTGGATAACAGATTAATACCCAACGATCCATCGTAACACCTGTTGATATCCATAATGATAATGTACGACTACCAGCAGCTACTGCACCAAATATTATTTCAATATATCGCAGTAATATTGTTATGGATGTATTTCGACGATTTTGAACAAAATATTCTAGTATATTTGTTATTATTATTGATATACATGTTATCATATCTGATAAAGATAAACCAGTTAAATAAACAAATGTTGATAATTGAGTACTTAAACGACTTAAAACGATAACGGACATTAAATTACTTATTAATCCTAAAATAGCAAATATAAAACTCGCAATTGAAACCCAATAAGAAACAGGATCAGATGGTGCATTATTTATATTACGCCAGAGATCATCGATTTCATTTTGTGCCCATGTTAAATCTTCTGGTAACGATGAATTATTCATCTAAAAATACTAATCATTTTTTCAGAAAGTATTACGTTGAAATATAGTAAATTGTAAATATTCAATACAAAATTATTTAATTCAAGTTTTGAATACTTAACAGCTATCATGATAACATTCTGAATATATATATAGGTCTTTCTTTTTCTTTTATCGTGATTCCAAACGAAGATTAGTGTGACCTATTCAAAGCCTGAATAAATAAAATGTATTTTTAAACAACGACTGAATAAGAATATAACATTTAATTCTCTAGAAAAACACATACTTATCTTGGCTGATTTAATTCATTCGAGTAGTTATAAAAATATATAACACATTGTCAAGGGAGTTAGTATATGGAGATAAAATTTTATATGATTCTGATTTTAGAAAAACATGCAAGTTTAGTAATGTTTGTCCTTATTTCTTACCAATCCCATAATTAAATAAATACTAATGTTGTCAAAAATAATTCTTCCATATTGTGCATGAGCACGGTTTCAACCCTAATAATAGTAATAATGTAAGAAAAATAAATTAGAGTAATCTTTACAACAGTCAATTTCTCACAGAGTTTATAAGTAAAAATATATAATTTATGTTCTATACCGTTGCTCTATATAATTATTGATTCCCTCGAACTATCCTGCAGTAGTATATACAAAATTAGTTACCATTTGTCAAACACAATTGATACAATCGTCTTTTATGTATGACTTGTTAGGAATTGAAGAGTCATACAAATAATCTAAATATGACATTTATTTCTAGTAGAACTGATTTTACATCAGAAATATTGTTCTTTTCCTAATATATAATATAAAAATAAAAAGATTGAATATAACAGATAATTAGAATGAAAAATAAAAGATTTAATTAAATGTGACATTGTCATGTAGTTATATTTTATATAAAAAGGAAAATTATGTTCTTTTTCTGCTCTCTCTTAGATATTAACCTTTTCATAACTATGATCCATATTTTAATTTTAAATAATAAATCTACGGTAGAAAAAAAAATGAATACCTTTGTATTTTGAAGTACTGTAGGATACAATAATTGCTTTAGGGTGTAATAATGTAGAAGTTAAAAAGACTTTCGATACTTATTATAAAAGCTAGTTTATATTTTGATTAATATTTATTCATAGAAAAACTTTGTATCAAATTTCCTGATCTACTAATAAATATTTTCCAGGGGAAACAATATTAAAATCAGTTGCATTTCTGTCATGACAGGAAGTTCACATATATCAACAAAGTCGATTACATATCCGTTCTCTAATCAAAGTTAATAATCTTATATAATAAAAAAAAATATCGTTGTTTCTACAAACATAAAACTTCTATTTTATTGTATTAGAATAAAAAGAAAAGAACAAAAATATTTGTACTTTTACAAATTAGAATAATTATATGAAAGTAGAAAAAAGAAATATATTTATCGATATATTTTATTTAGATAACAAACAATGAATGAATTATAAGCGAGACTTCGCTTATAATCAAAAAATGAATATTTAATTAAGTATAGAACTTACTGAGATAAACGATTGACTGAGTTGTATTTATAGTCAAGAATAAACATTTGGACTTTCTTTTTTTAAATAATGACAAGAGCAAATAAATGAGGTGCATCATTTCTTTTGCTTCTATATTTCCATTTGTTGATTATAATACTTTAGCGCATTCCCAAAAGCAATTTTTTGTCTCTTTCCTCTATTCAACCAGCGTTTTTCCCTCATTGCGTTGACGATGCCAATTACTTTTTATTGCTGCCACTAAACATCTTATGACTGTCATTGAATGCGATTAACTCTATATTGTAACTGTTAAAAACACGCACTTTTTATGAAAAAAAAAATAAAGGTATCTGTACAAATAATTAATAAGATACTACTTAAATATTCAAGGTACTCATTGTATATCTTAGCTGAAACCGAGCATTAAACAAAAATATATAGAAAAAAATTTTTAAGGATCGCATGATCATAGTAACTACTACTATTAGTTGTATAAACGAGCACTAGAAAAAAAAGAAATTGAATTTCCTATTGTTGTAATATTCAATAGTGTATATTTGTATAGACATGAGAAATAAAAATGCAAATGATTTCAATACACAAAACAATATTTGACATTGTAAAACAAATAACAACAACAAATAAACATCATATATAATATGAAAGGATAATGTAACATTCACTTGAACATCTGATAAACAAATCAAGAGAATTCTATAGATTTGTTATGATTATGATTTTTAATGTGTTTATATTTTTGTTTGAGTTTTCCTTTGGAAATATGATCTAAGATGGATATTAAATTATATATTACGATTTAAGATTTCTTCTGGCTATATAAATAGATATTGGATATGTTAAGAATATATTAAAAGCTTTTAATTAGATAAGAAACAAAAAAAAAAGAAAATGTTTAATTTAAACTTTTACATTTATTTGACGGAAATGATAGAGATGTTTTTTTGTTGATTGTTTATATAAGAAACAAGTCTAAATCAAGCCTTTTCCTTATCCATATTTATTATCAATAATACGAAGACAAACAGATGCCTTTCTATACAAATGATTTTCTCAGTCTTCTTTTTTTTATATTAACTAAATAAATTAAAGGTTATATACATAGATATATTTTTCATAAATATTTAATTGAAAAAAAAAATAAATTTTTTAAAACTAAATAATTAAACGATGAAAAAATAGTTTCTCTTTTTTTGAATAGGTTAATCAGACGATCAATACTAATGATAGTTATATAGTATTATATACAGATGTATCTGGAAAAACAAAGAGAATGTTGATGTTTTCTGATCTTCTCTGCCTTTTTTTCTCTCCGATATTTTTATATTGTTTTCGTGATGTTTTTGATGATGTGACAATGTAATTTTACATTTATTTTTTTATTATTTAATTAAATTAAAATTTTCATTGAATGAGTTTAATATATGTGTTATTAATATAATCGTTAGTGGTTAATGCAATGATAATTTGCACTTCTTGTTCCAGTCGATTACAGTAATTACGTATTTTTCAAATGATTAATATGTTTTCCTTCCAAAATAGACTCATTCGGTTCGATGATTGTTGTTCTTTTAACTTCGATTGTTCTAGTATTTTTAACATCTATCATATTCTTATCATAAAAAACATCCCATTAGCAATTAAGGGTGAAGAAGAAGAAGAAGGGGAAAAAAGGAACGAGCAAGTAATCTTCAGTAGTGTGGAAGGTATAGTAGTTGTTGTTGTTGTTATTGTTGTTGTTATTATTATGCTGGTATTTTCTGTCAATTATTGATGATAGTATCGATCGTTTTTCTTCTGAGAAACCCATAAACCATAGGACATGGTTCTGTAATAGGAAGAGAGAGAGAGAGAGAGAGAGCGAGTACTGCAAGTAGTGGATTTGGAAAGAGAAAAATAATATGTTCTACTCTTTTCTATCTCTTTCTCCCTTTCGTACGCAATACCGATAGCATACTTGTCTGATAACGATATACCATCATCATCAAACAAGATCAATATGTTACGATGAAGGTTATATTTGTCTAAGGCTTTATCTATTCATCCGATTTTGATTTTCGAAATTTCTAGACATTCTTTTATTTTCATTTATTTATTTATTAGATAATATTGTCAACAATCTAATTTGCATTGATATGTCATTATCAACAAGAAGTTATTCAAAAGAATCTCGTTC